TTTTTATAGCAAAGCAACGTTGCAAAATAGAAAATGCCTTTTATGATACATAAACCTTCGTGGTCTGTTAATCGAATTCTATTGTACATAAAACATCGGCATCGGTATTCTTCGAAATATAGGGCCACAAGTGACAACAAGTGAAATATATAAACATTTTCAAGAATCATAATTTATTGCTATATTGGATTATATGGCTCGATGATAGACGATGTTTCCACGATAGTTTCCTGCCGCGATAGTTCTTCCGATGTGAGACCGACCATACTATCATCGGCGAGAAGCGTCGATTAAGACCGCCATTCTTAAACAAGCTTCAGGAAAAGCTCGGGGCTTTTACGATAAGGCCGACCGGCCGACAGGCTGTCTCCGGGGAAAAACGAGCAAACAATCAGCGAAGAGATAACGCTCGGCCACACACACGCATACGTTTGCTGCCATAACCACTTTTACAATGCGGCCAGCGCAATTTATTGGTTACTTAGAATCAATTAGCGAGCACGCATTTATTAACCGTGGACAACTCCGCTGTCATTGTCCGCGAGCTTTCTATTTCCATTCGTGGCCCAGCCGCCGCGCATTTCTTTATCACGGTTGTACGAGCATCGCCGACGTTGCCGTTTCCTTTTTATCATTTATCCCCTTTTGTCCTCTTTCCACCTTTCGCAATGTGAATCAGAGTAGTTTGTAGTTGTCCTCCAACGACGTTATTTTTGCAGCTGCCTGTCGAAGGAAAGTGAAGTCGCGTGAAAACTTGTAATTTCGGTGGAATAAAACATAAGCGCGTCGATGCTATTTGCTTGCCATTACTCAACGAGCTTAGTATTCTCTGGTACTGCTCCTTGTTATTTATTCACAAAAATTTCCAATTTAGCTTAAACAGTTCTTGTCCCCGTGACTAGACATCTGCGATGTTTACGATCGAATGTTACAATACAAATGTCAAAGCTGTCTCGTTTCCTACGTAGGCGAACGTCAATATTTCTAATAATAAATCTAGCAACAAACGAACGCCACGATCTTACGTTGTGACACATTTTTAAATTCATGTGTCATCAAACATATCTATAATGAATAAAAAGCGCGCAGGCTACGAGTACACTAAAAAAAAAAAAAAAAAATGTATATCAATTGAGGAAAGATGGCGTTACCCCGTGGGATACAGTCTCATGTGGCAGATAAATGAAACAACAACCCGTGAGAGAGACCAAATTAAGCATAACCGGCGTAGTGGGAAGGACAGTTAGTAAAGAAAAAAGCAGTGCGGGGCGGGGGGGAGGGGGGAAAGGTTGATGATAAAGAAACGGTAGAGAGACACAGGGTAGGAGAATAAAAAGAGAAAGAGAGAGAGAGAAAAAAAAGAAGAGAATGGAGAACGGCGTGTAGAGAGGAAGAGGAGTAGAAGATTGGTGATCGACGGTAAGCAGAAAGAGAGAGAAGAGATAGGTCGGGCGCCACGGTTTAGCGCCATGGCGCCGGCTATATTACCGCATGGCGTCACTTCGATTAAGCCGTGCAATCTAAATGTAAATATTAGCATACGTAATGATCGGGCATAACGCGCACAGGAATGAGAATAGACGAGAGGAGACGCGGCCTGGTGGGAGGGTTGGAAGGTCGAGGGAGAAGCAGCGTGGGAGGAGAGGGAAGATCATTGCGAACCATTCCTCTTTCAATAAGATTGACCAATGCTCTCGTCGCTACTGCGTGCCTGTTTCACCTCTTATCGTCCTTTCTCGCATTGCTCTTTATCATCATGGTTAATTTCGGTCTTTATCTCGCCTGCTTCTCTGATGCATTTTTTCAGAAATGTCGATAGCTGCATTTCTATTTTTTTTTTTTTTTTGGTGTTATTAAGAGCCAGGAGTAGATACATGGGTACTTGAAAACGATTGAAACAGTAATTGTACCAGATTCCAGGCAGGTCAGCCTCCGTGCGTAAAAATCTCTAGAATGTTTTTGCGACTGCTTATTATTCACGGATAAAACAATATCTATATCTATATATGATCGATTTATTGAACGTTTACTTACCTAATAGCAATTTCTTTTTTTCCTAGTGTAAATCAGCACAGCATCACGTTGCAATAAATGGTGCAAGAGTATGTCCGTATAAAGAAATTTGTCTTAGTATTCAGCAGTTTAGTTGCATGTCAATTAGGTTCCTCTCCTTGAGTATCTATGATTTCCATTCATCTGACATGGCTGGCATCTTGAAAAACCAGATTCGAAAAGGTCATCTCGAAGAGGTAACCAAGAACTAACCTATATTATAGCAATATTTTCCTACTTTTTAAAGAAATCATATCAATTCCTAGTAACAGAAGTCCACTTCTGAACACAAATAATTAAACAACAATTAATCAGAAAGTTGTGCGCTGATAAAATTTCACAGTTGGCATACATGTATTCATTTCGCTAATAGTTCTCAGCGCGGATCAAATATTCGGAACATTCAAAAGGACATACAACGGGAATAACATCAAAGTGTAGGCACTGCGTACAACGTTCCATCATCAGTTAATTATAGTTCAAAATTAAATCATATTGTATAAATCATCAAATTTAATCATAGTTCCAAGTAAACGAATTCTCTGATAAAATCAATTTCCCTGTTTCGAAAAGTATCGCTTATCGTCGTGGGTATAAAGCTTCAATGCGCAAAAATTCGTTATCCCGTGTCTCTGTTCCTCATTCACTGTTGTAGTAATGTCGTGTTCGCGTCGTCGTTGTCTGGCATGCTCGTTGCCCCCTGCTGATAGAAGGTGAAGTCTCTTACGATTACCAATACGAAGACCGTCGTCTCGCGAAAAGAAACTGTGACCTGTGAGCCCGTCGATTGGACTGTCACATCGATTCTCATCGACTTGGACGATCAACGACAACGTGTTCCGGATGTTGAAGAGATGCGAAAGCAATCGTTCCATTCATTGGATAATGACGAAACTCGTTGAATCTCCCGCGTCCATTCGGGTATGGCAATGAAGGGTCGAGAGACGTCGAAAGATGCGCGTAATTAACGTTGGATCAATATATGACCCTGTCCAAGCAATTGTGGTAGATCGTTTAAACGTGTATTTTCATTATAATATTTTTTGAAAATTTTCTTCCTCGTCCTCTGTGATTACCATTATTTGGTCATTTCGACCACTTGCAGTTAGTTAGTTAATTAAGCAAATTCGCTGATTTTCGTAACATAATTTTGAAATAATGACCGACCTTTCGTCGAAAGTATCGCTTAGTATCGATTTTCGCGCGAATGCTATTAAATTAGTCGTAACACTCTTTTCTAATCACGTAAAAGATTTGAAATCTGCTCTCCTCGATTTTAGAAAACTATTATCTTTTAGCAGTGATGCTTATGAAATTAACATTCGTTGTATTCTAAAATAACAACACACACATACATACGCGCGCGTATCAGTAATAAATGTTTAACGTATGCCGTTCCTGGTATCATCCTTCAGGATGATTTGTATTGTTAATCAGCGTTTCAAGCCTGACGTAATTGTTAGGAATATAATTTTTTTTTTTT